TGATCATGTATTATGTTACTTAAGTCTCTTTTAATATGTAGGCTTACTCTCACTGTAATTTATTTCCAAGTTATTTGTCCTGTAAAATTTCCTACCTTCTGGATTTTATTGACTGTATCACTGAGATGTCATTTAACATGTTCCTTTACATCTATATATTTTTTTCTATTGGTAGGTAGATCTAGAAACCTAGATTATATTCAGGTTTAATCTTGTGGCAACAAAACTTCATTAGTATTCCCTATTTCCTCTTGCATTACATTGGGTGATACATAAATGTCTGGTTATGTCTTAAATTTTATTTTGAAGCAGATAGGCCAAAGACTTCATACAATCAATGGATTAAGTACAGATAAAGTTTGTGACATTTACTAGAGTTGTTAAGGCATAGATGGGTTAAATTGTAGAATGATAGACCAAAATATGTAATTTACCATCACAAATATCTCTTCTAATGGAAGGGACACTTGGAGCTATTTGGTATACTTTCTCTCTATACCAGGCAGGCCCATATGATCTTTAATATAAACGTAATGTTAGAAAAGTCTCACCTATTGGAAGGAGATGCCACATAGTATATATGAGGAGACAGCTGGTGGAGATAATCCTTTTTCATGGTCAAAAGTACCTTAGAGCCCTTGCGGGTTTGGCTCAGTGGTTAGAGCATCCGCCGCGGACTGAAGTGTCCCAGGTTTGATTCTAGCCAAGGGCACATACCTCAGTTGCAGGCTCGATCCCCGGCCCGGGAGCGTGCAGGAGGCAACCAATCTGTGTGTCTTTCTCACATCTATGTATGTATCATCTATCTATCTTTCCTTCCCTCTCTCTCTCTCTCTCATCTCTCTCATCTCTCTCTCTTTCTGTCTCTTTTCTCTCTCTGAAAAGCAGTGGAGAAAATATCCTTGGGGGAGGACAAAAAAAAAAAAAGTACCTTAAAAACTATAGTAAAACCTCCATATAACGGACTAATTCAGGTGAGGGGGTGTCTGTTAAAGCCAAAAGTCTATTGTATAATAAAGCAGGTTTTCTGAATATGTATTTTAAAAATTTGACAAATTAGTTTAGGTGGTTTTACTTTTGTAGATACATTTGTGTAATTAAAATTAAGTATGTATGAAAAGTTTAATTTTGCAGAAAAGTTTTCTATATGTATTAAAGTAATTTTAAATTTATACTGAATAAGTCTCATGTGTGCATTAACCAGTCACCAAGAGTAAATAAATGCACAGGGCTGGGGTGTGGCTTAGTGCACATCAGAACATCAGCTGCTACTCATTAAAACTGTTGCAGAGCCCGGTTGGTGTGGCTCAGTGGTTTGGTGTTGACCCATTCACAGAGAGGTCGCTGGTTTGATTCCTGGTTAGGGCACATGCCTGGGTTGCAGGCTTGTTCCCCAGTACAGGACATTTAAGAGGCAGCTGATCAATATTTCTTTCCCACTGATGTTTTTCTCTCTAAAATTAATAAAAGACATTAAAAAAAAAAAGTCAAGGTTGAAGTTTAAAAAAAACAACCTGTTGCAGAAAGTGACACCATGCAACAGAACCAATTACTGCACGCTATGTGGTGTGATCTTGTGCTAGTCATTCGTGGAACATTGTTTACGAGTAGTGACTCTTGGGTTTAAATAGGTAGACTATAGTTGTAGATATGTAATATTTATTTATGTTGGTGAAATTAGTGTTTTTTTCCAATATATGGCCTAGACGCTAAAATTTGTGTGAAAAGTAACTGAGTTAATGACAAAAAAAACCTATTAAATTACTTATAAGTAAACCTTGGTTAAAAGCATTTTAAAATTAACTATTAACTTTCACATATGATGTACGGATCAGAAATTTTGTCCGTTAAATCTGAAGTCTGTTAAGTCAAGGTCTGCAAAATCGAGGGTTTACTGTATTGCAAAAGTAATTGAAGAAAATATAATTTATAAGTGTTGTGGGAATTAATATTATCCAGTAAGGAAATAATTTACAGAAAGGAATTCAGAGGGTAAGATTAAGGAATGGATACTTGGGAATCCAGTTTTGTTTTAACGTTTTTTTTAATACTATGGGAGGGGGAGTACAAAAACATATCAGGTGTACAGATGATATAAAATTATTGTGCATAGTAAAATTCCAAGTGGATGGGGTTCCGTTGTGGAAATAACTCATGAAACTTTGTGTATGATCACAAAAATTAGAGAGCAAGAGAGTTGAATGATATAAAGACAATCTAAACTAAAAAGGTAATGGGCCTGGAAGTCATCATATAGGTCCCTTGAAAATAGTATGTAAGTTAGGTAAAATAGACATAAAATGTACCACTAAGAGTATTACCAACCAAATAGAAGATGTTAGTCCTGTAAACTGCATTTCAAGAAAGATACAATTGGGATGGAGAAGATAACAGGAAAGGATAAATTATCAAAACAATGAAGAATACACTGAAAGATTCATAGGTTTCAGCCTAAAAAGTAGAGTGAATGAGAGGAAATATGATTGAAGACTAAAATTAAGACAGTAGTGAAAAAGCATTACAGATTTATCTGTAGATTATTATATAGTAAAACTAGAGCATCTACTTTCTTATATGGAAGAGGTAAATTTGAAACAAATAAATGTGTTATTTTATATAGCAAGCATAAAATGTTTGCAACTCATTTCCCTCAGAGGTAATAGAGCTTGAACATGAATTTTAAAATATTGCATGTTAGTAGATTATTATGGGAGATTAGAATCTTTTGAGGTACAGAACATCTGAGGCTTCTGAAGTTGACATGATGATATGAATCAACAAGATTGATTCACAGACTATCCCTTTCTGCTCATGCTAAGACAAAATGCTGGGGCTACATGAACAACAGGTTTTAAAAAAAAAAAGTATGAAAAGTTTTCTAATTGTGGAAAAAGCCTGACATATTCTTCTTTATAGTCCTATACCCCTCCATTAGTGTTGAGGAAGAAGATGTGTTTGTTGCATTCTTTCTTTCATACTTTGATATCGATTCCCTCAGGGCTGCTTTTACTTAAAAATATTAGTATGAATAAGCTCACTGTCTTTTCTGTTTGTCTTTTTCTGCAGAACTTTTTATAATTCCTCAGTTATTATTACTTTGGCAGTTCAGTAGCAAGGAACTGGAATTGGTTTAATTTGCTTTTGCATTTCTTTTTCCGTCATGTTAAGATTTATTGATGTTTTAGACAAAAGGGATTGCATGCAGGTGGTTTCAATATGTAATTTTTGGGGGGAAGGCAAGGGACTCTAGTTTGTTTCTGTCATAAATTCTGATGATTTTAAAATATTGAGCCACAAGGTTATTAGGATGATAATGCCTCCTTTGTTTTTTGATGACTTATAGGATAACTCATCATTTTGGAAGTTCTTATTTTCAAATATAGTATAATAAAAACACATGGCACAAAATACGAAAAGTACAGAAAGATATACATTGAAAAATATTTTCCACCCTTGTCACCAGTTACCTAGTTCTCCTTTCCTTAGGCTACGACTATTACCAGTCTCTTGTATATTTTCCCAGAGATACTATAGGATTATACAAACATATATGTGTGTATATATTTTTGTTTGTTTAGAAATTTAGAAATAAAGGTACTATTATTACACACACTCTTCTGTATCTTGCTTTTTTCACTGAAAGTAAATCTTGGTGATTGGGTAGTGAACAAACGAATTTATTTAACTAGCGCCTGTTTCCAGGTTTTTGCTATTTATAAATAATGCTTCAGTGATTTTTCTTTGCATATGTTGCTACAGACACACCCAATTATTTTCATATTATAATATGAAATTAATTCTAACACCCCGAAGCAGTGATTTTCAATCTTTTTGATCGCATGGCACACACAAATTAATTACTAAAATTCTTTGACACACCAAAAAATACATTTTTTGCCAATCTGAAAAAAATAGGTATAATTTTGATTCATTCACACTAGACGACTTGTGTTGGCTATTGTCATTGTTTTTAAAAGTATATTTTTGATTTCAGAGAGAGGAAGGAAATGGGAGGGAGAGATAGAAACATCAGTGAGGAGAGAGTCATTGATTGGTGCCTCCTGCATGCCCCCTTCCGGGGGTCGAGCCCACAACCTGGGCATGTGCCCTGACTGGGAATCGAACCATGATCTCCTAGGTCATAAGTCAATGCTCAACCGCTGAGCTATGCTGGCTCGGCTGTTGTCATTTTTTTTGTTTGACAATCTAAGGGAAAGAGGTCAGTGCTCCTGACTAAATAGTCAGATATTGCCCTAGCTATTTGCTTAGTGGTTAGAGCATTGGCCTGTGGACTGAAGGGACCCAGGTTCTATTCCAGCCAAGAGCATATCCCTCAGTTGCAGGCTTGATCCCCATCCCCAGTTGTGGTACATGCAGGAGGCAACCAATCAATGTGGCTCTCTCACATTGATGCTTTTCTCTCTCTCT